TCTTCTCTTCTCTTCTCTTCTCTTCTCTTCTCTTCTCTTCTCTTCTCCTCTCCTCTCCTCTCCTCTCCTCTCCTCTCCTCCCTTCCTCTCCTCTCCTTTCCTCTCCTCTTCCCTTCCCTTCCCTTCCCTCATTTCATCTCATCTCATCATCTTGAAAGAGAACTATATCTAGAAAATTGGCATAAACATTTCAAGCATTTAAGTTCAAAATAAGTTACAGTTAATACATAACCAAGTTTCCCAAATCCTCCAGTCATAAATCTGGAGATAGGCAAGAAGATAAGAGAGCCAAGTTTCCTGGGGAGAGAAGTTCACTTGGATCTGTTCTGATGAATAGATTTTTCTAGCTACTCAATATTCCTCGAAAAAGGGGTCCTTGGTGCTTTCTGAGCTTGGTTGAACTCAGAGCCAAGCTCAGAGTTTGATCCAAGCTCAGAGAGCACCAAAGACCCTCATTTCAACTCTGGGCTACATGTATTTTTCTTTATTTTTTTATTTCACTGCCTCACCAGGAATATCTATAGCGTAGTGTTACTTACTTGACTGGTATCCACCTGAGCCTGCTATGGATTATTTATTCATTATCTTTCTCTATCCCTTTCCAGATACCACTACTGAGTATTGGTCCATGGTAGAAATAAGTGGTGTTCTGAAATGTTTCAGTTCAGCTGTTGCCATTTCACAATAACATGCTCAGGAGCACAAGCTTGACTGATCTCTTTTCAGAAACCCAATAAGCCATTTCTGGTTGGAGGTGAAAAGGCACACTATGGCAGCATTCCTTTTTGTTTGTTTGTTTCTCCCATCTCTGGCCTTCTCATAAGAGCCGTGGGACCAATATTCCTATGTCTTCTAGAAACTGTTTTTTTTTTTTTACCTCTATTGTCTGCAAAAAGTGAGGCAAGTGTGCATTTTTAAAAAAATCATTTTTTTTCAATCCAAATTTATCTGTTTTAATAACAGAAATGTCCATGTGGTTGAGGCCGTTCACAAAATATTGTATTGCTGTTTCAGCCTTTTAAATGTTCTTTCTTGCACAGCTGTGAAGACTAATGGCAACTTTGCAATTGATAGTATGGTGGATAACACATATCATGCTTCTTAAATTTCCATATTTTAAATAGCACTGTTTGATATTCTCATTCATGATGACATGCACGCTGCAGCTGCCAAACACACCAGGCAACCTTTTCCAATTACGCTTCCGTATTTAACTTGACTTGACCTGAAGCAAAACCAAATAATGGGACAAGGGTTGAAAGAGGCAATGAAATAAGGAACAAAGATCAAGAGAAGCTGAAACATCAAACAAAACCTTCCACCCAAAGACTCTAGCAGTGATGGCTAATCTTTTCCACGTTGCATACCAAAAATGCCCATGTGCTCATTCATTTCCTGCACCCATAATGCAATGCGCGTGTGACTCCCCCTGTCCCCTGCATATATACATGCATGCATATGCCACCTCCTTGCACTACACGCCTCTGTGCATGCGCATGGATTCCCCCATGCCTGTGTCTTCCCCTGCGCATGTGCGGCAAATACCCGACGATCAGCTGGCTGGTGTGGGGTGCGTGCACATGCGCAGTGGGGCTCTTCCGGGCAACCTCTTGTGTGCCGGCAGAAGTGGCTCTGTGTGCCACTTCCGGCATGCATGCCATAAGTTCGCCATCTCAGACTATAGTATGCCTGCAGTTCAGCTGTGAAGCAGACTGATAGTGCAATTGTATACATACCTGCTCTATGTTATGAGTCCATGGTCCATGTGAGCTGGATCTTTGACTGTGGATGTTATAGCTTGTATAGGAGTGGTCATAGGTAGAGCCTGGTCTCCCCACACTAGAGAGCTAAGCTGTTGGTGTTCTCTTTGCTGTCTTTACTAAGACAATTAAGGAAGAAATGGGTTGTGTGTTGGATTACATACATGCCCGAGTGTCCGCTTAAACATGTAGACTAGATGAGACAAGAAATGTGGCCAGATGAGCTAATTCTACTTGTAAGGCTACATTAACAAAGCATGCAAGTCTGAAAGTACACATTTCTCATGGTCTCTTTTTACAGTCTGATAAGTTGGGGAGAATCCTCTCTGAGTTTATTTCTCTGACCATTATGCATCTGTCAGCTCTACCAATTCTCACTTGATCTTTCCCTAGGCAGCACTTTGTAGTTCCCCCAAGATCGTTCCTACATACCATTACATAAGCAAAGCTAGTGAGTCTGCATATTATTTACTCAAGTGAAACTTAATATGATGTTACCAGATGGTGATGTAAAAAAAACAAAAAACTGAGGAGGAATGGGGAAGAAATAAGGGATGTGAGTTCATTCTTTTAATCCTTTTTCAGTGGGTTATTAGTTCAACTTTCAGTCTAAATAACCTAAATAATCTTCAAGCTATTAGAGATAATGTAAAAGTGTTTTTTATTCCCCTTCAGACTGTTCTACAGTATAGTATAGCAAAGATAAGGAATACATTCAAAATTCAGATGGGCTGACAATCTTGACTTTAAAAAGAAACTATTGTGTTCCCCCCCCCCTTTTTTTTTTTTTTTAGAAACTGACATTAAAAAGGGGGAAAGCCCAGCTAAAACAGGTAACTAACTGATTCTAAATAACTTGGATTAGAAGTGTCTGCTACAGATTTTCTTAATTCTTTGGACACTGCTCTTGTGCACAACCTGAGAAACATAATTTCAATTGCCAAAGTCGCTAATTTTTAATTATTTTTCATTTGTATTAATAACAACTACGAGCTATGTTCTCTTAACATTAATAGGAAATCTTTAAAGTTCTCATTAATAGTTGATGAAAAGTACAATTGTTTAAAATCCCTCTTTGTTCTATAATTGTCTAAAACTATGTAGTAAATAATGATGTTTACTATATTCAATCTGTACCATAAAAGTTGTGATACCATAATGTCAAATCAGAAACATTTTGACAAAAATATTGTATATTTTTAAAACTTTCCACTACTTGTAAATTGTTTTTAATCCCTATACAATCAGTCAATGTTGTGCACAAACTGGTCATACAAATGTTACAATTTCTCCTATTTTATGAAAGCAGAATTGTTTTACATATACAAACTGCTGAAGATAGTAATTGGTAAAGGAATGTTTATTGGTCCCTTGTCTAATACAATTAATTGTTATAAAATCTTTCTTTGCTATACATATGTATATAATAAATTATTAAATAGCTTTGGGTCAGAGAGAAATTACAGTTTTACACTTTTGGAGAGCACATGGTTGGAGAAGACTGCTATAATAAATAAATATGTGGCTTAGAGCTTAAATTGACTAATAGGTGGGTTTCAAAGAAAGCAATTGTTATGTCTTATATCTAATTTACCTTTTTTTTTTTAGCCTCCAGCATGATAAAACAAACCAAGAATATTTCTCATCCTGACATTACAGGTATGATTTTGTCTCTTGAAGTTTCTTTTTAAACATTGACTTGCTATTTTTCATTTTTAATTCATTATTAGTGACCTAGAGTTGCGGTCACTGAAGAAGTCGGTGTGAGCTTAAATGGACTCTGGGGGATGGTAGAGGACAGGAAGCCCTGGAGGAACATTGTCCATGGGATCGTGATGGGTTGGACATGACTTCACAACTAACAACAACAACAGAGTTTGCAGTAGCAAGATAGTCATATAAATAGGATAGATATAGATAAATGATAGGTAGGTAGGTAAATAGATAGAAAGATAGATAGAAAGATAGAAAGATGGATGGATGGAAGGAAGGATGGATGGATGGATGGGCTGGCGGGCAGGCGGGCAGACAAATAGATGATAGACATACTGTAGATGTAATGATAAGAGTACTTTTTTATTTATAGATAAAAATTGTGTACTGCATATGGGAAATCCTCCAGGGCTTTCTACAACAGTTTGTATGCAAACTATCTATTTCTCCTACTGCAGAGGTGGTATTCAGCAGGTTCTGACCAGTTCTGGAGGACTGGTAGTGGAAATTTTGAGTAGTTTGAAGAACCGGCAAATACCACCTCTGACTGGCCCCATCCCCATCTATTCTCTGCCTCCTGAGTCCCAGCTGATTGGCTGGGTCTTCTTTTGTTGCCCGGCACAGGAGAACGGAGCTGGAAATCAGGTTAGTGGGGTGGGGAGAGAATAGGGATTTTGCAATATTTTTCCCCTGCCACATCCTCCAAGCCATACCATACCCACCAAGCCATGCCCACAGAACTGGTAGTAAAAATTTTTGAATCCCACCACTGTCCTATTGAGTACTATACTCAGAGGCATCCACAGGATTCAGTACTTCATCAAAAAGACACAAGGAGGGTTGTACCATGCAATGTCACAACCATAGCATAAAAAAGCATAAAACTTGTTGTTATGTTAAAACAGAGCTCACATCTTTAGTTATATTATGGTAACAGGAATGGAGATGCTTGGTTGGGAGTGGGAGACACTCCAAGACTCAAAGATAAATGTCATGCCCCTGTTGGAGTCTGACTCCGAGGGAGAGGAGGAACAGGGAGTGAAAGTGTGGCTCCGGAAGTTGTGGAGTTGGATGGTCAATCAGAGGAAGACCCGGGCCCATCCCTTCTCCATCCTAGGGCACGAAGGGAGGAGAGGATAAGGGAGAGATGTGAATGGCATGGTCTATGGGGGAGGAAAGGGCCTTGATCCTCTTCATGGGCTGCAGCTGTGAGAACTGGTTAAAAGGATGGACATGTGTATGGACCAGTGCTGGAAACAAAGCATGGAAATATCTCTAATCTGTCGTTCCTCTCTGAGTTTGGCGTCCTTCCCAGTCTGTGTTCTGATATCTGTGGATGTCTTCAAACTCTTATCTTGCCTGGTTCCCTTAATTGTTTCAGTGTAGTTTGTGTTCTTTTTACCCTTTATAATTTATAGTTATTTGTTAGTTTAAATGGCATTTCCTCCATTTGTAACTGCTTGGGAGAGTTTTTTTGTCTCCAGTCAAGGATATTTGGAGCTTTGAAGGAATTAAAGGGGCTTCACCTGTTTCTGTGACTGTGTTTATTTTGTATCCCACCCTGGGTTATCACAAAATGGGATTGTTACCATTTCATCACTGTGTGTGGATATCCTATTCTCACAAGCATCCTAATTCCAAGGGTTCTTGCAAAGGGCACCTCTCTGCCTCTCCTGATGCAGGGATCCACAAGTGTAACACATTTAACTGAATGTAGCCCATTGGTTGTGTATGCTGGTCCAGTAAAGCCTAAATTAATCCCCATGATTTTGCCCTATTCAAAGAGATGGAGATGCCAGGAGCATCTTAACTTGGTGTTAGGGATTATATTGTAGAGATCAAAACCAATGGATAACCCAAGTGCTACAGCTTCTCTCAGGTTAGAAATAGACTAGATGGAAACCACAGTAACATCTTGAAAATGTTGCATTAATCCATGTTTAATGATATATTTAAGATACTTTTCTTTATAATGTATGCAAATTACTGAACATTAAGTGCTAGTTTTGAAATTAACCAATATAGTACAAGATAATTTATTCCCTTGATCTTGCCCAATTTCACTTGTAATTTCTAGCTAGGAAATTACTGGAAATGCTTTTGTTAATACATAAATGTTCTTCTGAAACAGAGTACCATGCCTCATTGTTTAAAGGGTAAAATTATTAGACCTCTACTTAAGAATGCCTTTTTGTATTCTCCAGAAATTTCATATAGCACATGCATTTAGCATCACACTGACCCTTGAAAAAAATGTATTATGCTCGTGTTAAAATCATTAAAAGGCTGCCAATTTACTTCTAGTTTGGTACAAGATGATAGATATTACCTTTAAAAGCTCACATGGCCTAACAAGCTACCTCATTCATTGAGAAATGGTCTCATAATGCTTGGAAATCTACAGATGCTGAAGACTCATCTTGAGGTCCTGACTTGGAGTCAAGCTTTTTCTATCATTATCTGGAAGGTGTTCCCTAATGAGCAGAAAGGAGAGACCTCTTTGCTGCTTTTTTCTTTTTTTCTTTTTAAAGACCTTTAAAATAAGATACTTTTTGACAAGCTTTTTGATTATTTAAATTCTGGTTTTCATTTTTAAACTTTCGGTGTTCTTATTGAAGAGCATCAAAAGACTTCAAGAGCCAACAGTATCAAAAGTATATAAAATAAGTAATACATCAAAGAAATAAAACCACAGCCAAGACTTCAGAAAGAATAAAGCTACTAGTGGCTCCTAATCTATGGATTATGTCCAATATCAGAGGCAGGATGTTTCTGGAAATTCAGGTCCTGGATAATAAACCTGAAAATGCTGAACAAGATGCCCCATCTGTTCTGACAACAGGAATTGTTTATATCCTTTCTTTGTCATTTTTGGGGGTTTTCGCTCAGCATAATTATTGATTCTAGACTATTGTTTTTCTCTTGCATGTTTGTGTGTGTATGTGCATGTATATCAGTGTGTGTGTGTGTGTGTGTGTGCGCACACAAACACACATATATATTCGGAAACATTGTCTGTGGCTCATTTTCACACACATAAAAAGAGTATATAATTAATACCCTCTTGGCATTCTAGAAAGAAGAGACAACTCATTAAAACTATAAAATGATTATAAAGAATAGTGACAGGTGATACCAAGAGAGGAACCAA